CCATGTCCCCAAGGGTGTCCGTGTGCTACATGTCCCTAAGCGTGTCCGCATCCCCAGGCATTTCCGTGTGCTCCATGTCCCCAAGGGTGTCCGTGTTCCCAAGTGTGTCCGTGTGCGCCATGTTCCCAAGTGTGTTCATGTCCCCAGGCATGTCCATGTGCTCCATGTCCCCGAGGGTGTCCTTGTGCACCATGTTCCCAAGTGTGTCCATGTCCCCAGGTATCTCCATGTCCCCAAGTGTGTCCATGTGCTCCATGTCCCTAAGCATGTCCGTATCCCCAGGCATGTCCATGTGCTCCATGTCCCTACGCATGTCCGTATCCCCAGGCATGTCCATGTGCTCCATGTCCCTACGCATGTCCGTATCCCCAGGCATGTCCATGTGCTCCATGTCCCCGAGGGTGTCCTTGTGCACCATGTTCCCAAGTGTGTCCATGTCCCCAGGTATCTCCATGTCCCCAAGGGTGTCTGTGTGCTCCATGTCCCTAAGCGTGTCTGTGTCCCCAGGCATGTCTATGTGTTCCAAATCCCCAAGTGTGTCCATGTCCCCAAGTGTGTCGTGTCCCCAGACATCTCCTCATCCCCAGGTGTGTCCATGTGTTCCATGTCCCCAGGTGTGTCCGTGTCCCCCAGGTGTGTCCATGTCCCCCAGGTGTGTCCATGTGTTCCATGTCCCCACGTGTGTCCGTGTCCCCCATGTGTTCCATGTCCCCAAGCACATCCGTGACCCCAGACATCTCCTCGTTCCCAGGCATGTCCGTGTGCTCCATGTCCTCAAGTGTGTCTGTGTCCCCAGGCAGCCCCCGGCTCCGGCTCACAGTGCCACTGTCACAGCGCAGCCACCTGTCCCCATCCACATCCCTGCGGGCCCTGGTCCCCTCCGTCCCCCCCGTGGTGACACCTGTGCGGGCCGTGACAGCTCAGCTGCTCTGGGGACACCCCAGGGGTCCCCGCTGCGCAGCCCCAGCTGCTTGGGGGTCACCTGGCACGCGGAGCCCAGCCGACGTCCAGAATGTGCCCAAGGTGGCCGGATTCAGCCTGGAAAAACCATGCCCGGTTGTCTGGCTCTTTTTCCTGTTCCTTTGCTTGCTCCTGAAGCGGCTCCATGCATGTGCCACCCTGGAAAAGCCGCCGTTGCTCTCACAAACACGACCGTGTGGGCGCTCGCGGCCCTCAGCCGCTGGCTGGCGGGGCACGGCG